TGTATTCTTGCAGGAAATTTCTGCTGCTTAAAGTTACATCTGGAATTTATATAATTGGAGGGATATGATTTTTTCAAAATTTTTATAACTTGAGCTTAAAGGTTAACAACCGTCAATAGTGTAAAAATGCAGTATAAATATTTTAGTTCAATCCACTATCTCTTTGAAAATATTTTCAAATCACGCTTTATATTACGTTTATTAACGAAACTAATCTAGAAATCAAAACTTGACTTATCATGAAATAACTTTACTATTTTTTTTTAGCAACATAAAGTTTCAGTAAATAATTCAACAATTATTCGTTAATTGCGAATAAGTACAGTAATAAACTTGAATGCTTAAAATTCATTGAGTTATCGAAAATAAAATGATAAAATCGGTTGCTAAAATTCTTCAGAAAAAACTACTTTCACTGGGAAGGGTTTTACAAAAATTCCACTCTTGTATCGTCAATTTTTTCATTTTTCATCAGTTTCATCATTTCTTCATTTAAAGATTTTGATTGACTAAAACCAATACTAGATTTGAAAAAATAATTTCGTCTAACAACCACATTAAGTAGCCAATTAAAATGCTGAATCGTGTTGAAATTAATAGACAAACCCTAAAATTATATTTCCGTGCCCAACTGCATAATGACATCATTTTATTTACTTTGGGAAATTGCACTACATTGTACGTAGCACAGTACTGTGCATATAACATTTATTCATGATTCGTAACGATAGCCACTAAATTTGTAACTTTTTCACAATGGCCGGATATAAAAGAAATCAGGATTCATTTCAAGCATCAAATTCAAATAATAATATAAATAACTTGATAACTACTAACAGTAGTGAAGCACAGCAAACAAAACGCCAACGTTCAGAAAATAATGATTATGAAAGCATTTGTTGGAAATATTTTGAACCATTCGAGGTCCCAAAGGAGAATGGAACAATAACAAAATGTACGGTTCCTGGATGCACAACGAGATACAGTTGGTGTGGATCTACTTCTAATCTTGTTGGACATCTTAAAAGAAAGCATAATATAACAACCATTCAACATATGATGACTTTCAATTAAAAATTAATCTTCCATTAATTAAAATCATTATTTTCTCTGCATCACCTTTCAACATAATTGATAGTTTAAAGTCTTCTGGCCTCATTAATCCACAAATTGAACTGCCTCTGGAAAAGCAAATAAATAAAGTATATGAACGGTTATTTCTTCAATTGAAATTAAAAGCTCAGCAAGCAAACTCTGTTATGCTCTCAATTGACCATATATATATTGAAGAAATTGAGGAGTATAAACCGTAATTACTTGTTGTTGGTTAACTGAGGATTTTGAATTTAATAAAATCTTGTTGTGTATAGTAAATAGTTG